ACACTTACTTTAAACATTTTGGAGCTCTTTTCACATCAATCAGTATATAGACAGCTCCCTCAGTATTTTTTTGTAGCATCATAGAATTCCATGGTCTAGATGTGCTACAATTTATCTAGTCCCTTGCTGGTGGGCATTTAGGTGTTTCCTCATTTGTTAGTACAAACAGTGATGTCATGGCTCTCATTTTACATGTCATTTTACAGGTGTGCAAGTACATCTTTGTGGATAAATTTTGAGAAGAAATATTACTGGTTCAAAAGATAGGTTCACTTGGAATTTTTCAAACAGCGGCACTTGTTTTCTAGAGGGACTATACCCAATTTACACTCCCATTAGGACCCTCAGAGGCTGCTTGTTTGTTCACAGTGTCCTTAATGGAGTGTGTTACTAGTTTTTTATTTCTTCCCATCTGGTTGGTGAAATTGTTCTCAATATAGTTATAATTTGTGACTTTTTCCTAAAAATGAGGTTGAATACCTTTTATATGTTTAAGAGGGGAAGCCTTTTGAAACATATTATGGAGACATAAACCATAAAGGAAAAAAAATGATGGAAAGATTTGACTACATAAAAAATAAAACCAAAATAAAAAAACAAATGACAAACTGGAGCTGGGATGTTTTTGCAACATTTTTTTTTAGAGAGGGGGAGGGAGGAGGGCCGGCAGAGGGAGAAGGGGAGAGAGAATTATAAGCAGGCTCCACACTTAGCACGAGCTTGATAGGGCTCGATCTCACAACCCTGAGATCATGACCTGAGCTGAAATCAAGAGTGGTCACTCAACCAACGGAGCCACCCAGGCACCCCACAACATTTGACTAAATAACCTTAATATACACTTCAATAATAAGACAATACTCTAGTGAGAAAATCAGCAGATGCCATAAATAGGCAATTTCGGATGAGGAAATTAAAGTAGCCGTTAAACCCGTAGTAAAAATTTAGCCTCACCTGTTGGTAATGAATTATAAATATTAAAACACCTTTGCCGTAAAACTGATCATCTCTTTAAAAGTATACTACATGTGGTGCTTCTTCTAGATGAAACATAGGGCTATTCCACGATACACATTTTAGATAGTTGAAGGTATATAGTAGTGTTCCCAATTCCTTCCCAGCATCTCCCTATCCCCTTCACCCTCAGTGGCCCTAGATCTTTTGGATAGCAGAGTCTTAACATTATATATTGCCAAGAGTTGTTCAGCAGTTGGATGTAGGCAGCAACAGATTCAAGTGCAGTTACTTATTAAGTACTTTTTTCCTTTTGAAGAGGAAATAGAATGTCATTATGTATTGGAGTCTGGAAAAAGTGGGTTCAATTCAGCAGAAACTTTCACTGAGTACTTGTTACCATGTGCCAGGTACAGTGATCTAGAATGAGGATGAAGAGATAAACTTTGTTTTCAGTTAACCAATGAATCTCATTTGTGTCTTTATGTACTTCATTTCTTTAGCTTTATTTTTTATATACTCTTTATTTGAAATTTTAAAGCAAGAGGCAGGTAATCTGTTTTCTGAAACTTTATCCCAGACTTCTATTTATTATTTTTTTACAGTTTTATTATTATGTAATTCACATACCATATAATTTACCCATTTAAAATGTACAATTAATTGGGTTTTTAATATATTCACTGAGTTGTGCAGTCATTACTGCAGTCAATTTTAGAATATTTTCATCACCCTCAAAGGAAACTCCATACCCATTAGCAGTCACTGTCCATTCCTCCCTGCCCCAGTCCCTGACAACCAAGAAACTGCTTTCTGGCTCTAGACTCCCCTATTCTGGACACGTCATATAAAAGGAGTCATAAAATATGTGCTCTTTTGTGATTAACTTCTCTCACTCCGTGTAATGTTTTTAAGGGCTCATCCATGTTTTAGCATATATCAGTGCTGCTTTTCCTTGTTATGGCCAAATAAAATTCCATTGTATGGATATACCACATTTTATTTATCCATTCATCAGTCGATGTTCATTTGGGTCGTTTCTACCTTTTGCCTGTTATAAGTAATGCTCCTATGAACATTCACGCACATGTTTTTGTGCAGATATATGTTTTAATTTTTCTTGTGTAGATACCTAGGAGTAGAATTACTGGGTCATACGGTAACTCTATGTTTAACGCATTGAGGAAGTGTCAGACAGTTTTCCAAAGTGGCTGTACCATCTTACATGCCCATTAGCATTGTATGAGCTTCCCAATTTCTCCACATCCTCACCAACACTTGATATTATCTGGCTTTTTGATTATAGCCATCTGAGTCAGTATGAAGTGGACTCTCATTGTGGTTTTGATTTTTAATTCCCTAATGACTAATGACATTGAGTTTGTTTTCATGTGTTAGATGGCCATTTGTATCAGCAACTTGGCATCTTTCTGACCATCCTTTTGTAGTCGCCTCTCCCTCTGGCCACAGCCTAGAAAGAATCTCTACTTTTAAGGATTTACGTCATTAGATTTTGCTTACCTGGATAATCCAGGATAATCTCCCTATCTCAAGGTACTGAACCTTAATCACATCTGTAAAGGCCTTTTTGTCAAGTAAGGAAATATGTTTGCAGGCTCTGGGTATGAGGAGGCAAGCTATCTTTGGGGACCATTTTTCTGTCTACCATACCATCTTAACAATACTAAATCTTCTGATCCACAAACATGAGATCTTTCCATTTATTTAGGATGTCTTTAATTTCTTGTAGTGATGTTTTATATTTTCCTGGGTATAAATCTTGCACTTCTTTTGTTAGATTTGCTCCTAAGTATTTTTTGAGCAATTATTAGTGGAATGATGTTCTTAATTTCATTTGTGGGTTGTTCATTGCTGGCATATAGAATTGTAATTCATTTTTCTGTGTTGATCTTGAATCCTGCAAATTTGCTGAACTTGTTTAATGTTCTAATAGATTTTTTGCGGGGGGGCTCCCTTAGAGTTTTCTGTATTCATGATCAAGTCACCTGTGAATAGAAATAGATTTATTTCTTTCTTTTTGACCTGGATGCCATTTATTTTGTTTTCCTGCCTAATTATTCTGGTTAGAACTTCTAATGTATTGTTGGGAAGAGCAGACATCCTTGGTTTGTTCTTGATGATAGTGGGAAAGTATGCAGTCTTTCACCATTAAATATGACGTTAGCTGTGGGTTTTTCATAAATGCCCTTTATCATGTTGTAGACGTTCCCTTCTCTTCATAGTTTGTTGAGCATTTTCATCATGAAGCTATGTTCGATTTTCTCAAATCCTTTTTCTACTTCTATTGAGATGATCCTGTTTTTTTCACATAATACCATAATCGAGGTATAAATCACATATCTTAAAATTCACCCTTTTAAAATGTGCAATTCTGGGCGCCTGGGTGGCTCAGTCGTTAAGCGTCTGCCTTCAGCTCAGGTCATGGTCCCAGGGTCCTGGGATCAAGCCCCACATCGGGCTCTCTGCTCTGCGGGAAGCCTGCTTCTCCCTCTCCCACTCCCCCTGCTTGTGTTCCCTCTCTCGCTGTCTCTCTCTGTCAAATAAATAAATAAAATCTTTAAAATAAAATAAAATAAAATAAAATGTGCAATCCAGTGTTTTTAAAAAATATTCACAGCGTGTGCAACCATAACCACTATATAATTCCAGAATATTTTCATCACCCCAAAAAGAAGCCTGGTACCCATTAGCAGTCACTCCCTTTTACCCCCTCCTCCCAGCTCCTAGCATCCACTAATCTACTTGCTGTCTATGGATTTGCCTATTCTTGACATATTCTGGACATTTCATATAAATTGAATCATACAGTACGTAGCCTTTTGTGTCTGGCTTCTTTCATTTAGGGTAATATTTTCAAGATTCATGCAGGGTGTAGCATGTATGAGTACTTGATTCTTCTGATCTCAGGAGGAAGACTCTTCATCTTCCTCTTTCCCTAGTTACCCCTGGTAAACTAGCTGGCCTACAGCCTAAATTTTTACTCTCACAAAACTGCTTGCTTCCTTTTAATTGCTTAGCACCAAAATCTCCATTTTTTTTTTTTTCTTGAGAGAGAGTCCTTCAGCTTGAATTTCCTCACACCCCTTTTCAAAAAAGGCAATACTTTTGGGTATAGCTTGGGAGCTCTCTGTTTTTATGGGCCTCCTTTACCCCTGGGCAAAACCTTTGAAACAGTGCTGTGGGTGCTATATAGGGCTAGTTTCCTCTGACTCTCTTGCTTATTGCTTCAGGCATGGAACCTCAGCCCTGTAAGTGAGCTGGGACAAGGAAGTCAGGGTAGGGGTGATGGGGCCCCCATATTCTTAACCTGTTGGGCCTGGTGTAGAACCTCTGCCCTATGAATGAGGGCTGACTTAAAGGAAGGGAGTCCCTCAACTCTTGGCTGTACTCACCAGGAATTTCAACACGTTAACACTATGTGTTGGAGGTGATTTGCTGGCTGCTTGCCTTTCCCAATGAAATACTGTGTCCCTTGGTTGGGAGCTGGGGCCAGTGTTATTGGCCACTCTGGCCTGGAGTGTGGCTTCCTTCAAGGTGAGCCGGGGGATAGAGGGAATGAAGAGAGTGGGTTGTGGTTCATATGCTAGACTCTCATTGGTATAACTGAGTCTCAGCAGATTTTCTTGAATAAATGTTCTTTATTTGTTGTATATATTTTGGATGATTTCCTAAGATTTCAGATTGTTTTCTATACCAGTTATGGTTGTTTCACTGGGGAATAGGTCCCCAGGACTTCTTATGCTGCAGTTCTAGAAGTGGATCCCCCTCTTAACGTTACCTTTTCAGTAAAGTAGAATTTCTTGGTTATGATGGTGCTAGAAGGCTGACTATACTAAGCAGTACTGATAAACTATTTTTTTAAATCAGGCTTTTATTATGTTTTATTTGTTAGATCTCAAGAGTATCTGATTTTCCTTGCTTTGTTTCAGTTTCTCTGTATAAATGAACCTTGTTATAATGATGTTTTATTTTTTAAAAATTGTTCTTTGGTGACATATTTTTCTGCTTGTTACTTTGACTTTTAGGTTTGGCTTCAGCATCGACTGCTGACGCCACTACTTGTTCAAGCACCATGCTGTTTACTTCAATGTCAAATGCTTCTACTTCTGCGGCTGCTACTGGGCTCTCTTGTAAGTTACTGGTTGCAAAGAAAATACCATTATTTCGCATCAGGCCACTTAACTCAATTTGCCAATATAAGCTATGGATCTCTTGCATCTCATAAATTATCATTATGCTCAAACCCATCTGTAACTGCTGCTATCAATAGTAGCTTTGCTTAAGAACCTAATTGTCATGGCTTTAGCTGTGAATTTTATGTTAACATGATTATTCCAGCTTAAAGTGATAATTTTAAGCATTTAATTCATTAACATTGTAATGTTTTGAAACAACTTCTTGAAGCTAATGGGAATAGGAAGAGTGGGAGTTTTGCCAAGTATATCTGATGGGAAGAAGTCTTATTATCCATGTGAATAAGATAAAATGGGAATTAAGTGTTGGAACCTTGCTATCATATATTCTTCTAGATAGACCAGGTTTGTGGTCCTTACATTTTACCTATCGGAAGTGATGGAAGACAAAAGGCCCAGTTTGGGGTCTTAATTGACACCATGTGTTGCCTTGTGGCTTCTCTCCTTAAAGAGGAACATCTGAATGCGTTGATCTGAGAAGTGGGATATTAATTATCTTGTAACCCCAACTTCTTTGCTATGTATCTTCCATTAGTACAATAACAGCAAATGTTGAGCAATTCTTTCTTACAGGTCCATATAAGCTGACTCTGCTTTTGAGATATCTTCACAATGCCATGACATTTATCGTTAGACTTTGTTATTGTAACCCTAGCTGTAATATGGTTCCCCCACAGGCCTATTATAGCAAGATTGTCACCATTCCTGGGAATAAAACTTGCCAGGAATTGCTCATGCCTAGTTCAGGGTAAAAAATAGTGGTCTCTCATCCCTATCCTCTTGTGAAGCTGGAATAGGCAAACATTAGTTAAAATTGCTGGTTACCACTTGAGTTGTATTTTCTACCAAATAGACTTCCAGTTTTGAGACACGAGTGGGATTCTGGAAGCCTTTTGATATATGTAAGCAACTACAAACAACAGATTTCATGAATATGACCACATCTGAGGTTGGAAGTTATAATTGTTGAAAGCATTCCATTTTCAATCAAAGACTTGCCCTCTGACCTTTGAAAGGCTTGTTTTCATTCCTGTCTTTGATGTCTTTGCCTACCAAATGAAAAGAAATCTCACTCATAGTATTTGTAAAATTAACTTTAATGAGGTAAAACTTACATATAAAATTAACTTATTTTAAGTATACAATTCAGTGATTCTAATAAGATTACTGAATTGCGTAACTACCACTAAAACTGTAATCCAGTTTTAGAACACTTCTCTCATCCAAATAAGATCTCTCAGCCCCAGACAACTACTAATCTATTTTCTGTCTCCATAGATTTGCCTTTTCTGGACATTTCTTATAAATGGATTGAGTAGGTTTTTGGAGTTCAGCCAAAAGTTTCTAAAGGACTCTTCAGATCAAAGAAACTCTATCTAAATTACTCACTGTTTTTAAATTAGAGTGTAAAAGGTAATATTATGTTATTCTCTGCAGTTGGTGCTCCAACAACTTCGACTGGAACATTTGGTGGCATAACTTTGGGATTTGGATTAAAATTCCCTGGAGCAGGTGGAGCAGCTCATACTGCTTCTAGTAAGATTTGAGAATTATTGGGGTGTGTGATGTGTTTGGATGCTCAGTGGAAATGTGCTGTGTAACAAGCAGTGAGAGTGTAGTATTCCATAGTTTTTAGGACTGTTTAAGTAAGTTATGATCATTTCATCAGAGTATGCAAAAGGTACACCAAAAGTGATGATTGCCAAAGTGTAGTGAGACATTTGATACCAATGAAGCTACTTCTTTGAGATGACCGTAATCAACACTGCTACCAAAGTCTTGTCAACTTTTAAATTTAAGAATTTTTATTATTGATCATAGTGTCTACATTGACCCAATATATTGGGATTGATAGTTCTTTTTCCCTAAAACTTAAGTTTTGACCTGTATTAAAGTTGACCCTATCCTAAAGCTGATTACAGGAGTTTCCATCCTAAATTTGTTTCTGCCAGTTAAGAGCTAGTTAGGTTGTAGGTTGACGAGAACTTGGCTAGTCATAGCCTTATATCTTATGGTGAGCTGGGTGGTTAGGGGTCAGTTGCTACTTAAACCTACCATTTAAGTCAGACTCCATTCTAGGAAAATCTTATTTGTTTTATTTTAAAAGTTTACGTAAGGCTGAACAAATCTTTCCTCAAACCTGGTATAAATTAAAAGTCACTCTTTTTTTAAATTTAAAGTAATTATTCCTAAACAGAGATGTCCGCCATCTATTTATGTATTCTTTTGCATGAATGATGCTTAACTGAGCTTCTGCTGTGTATGAGGCAACTGGCCAACCTATGAGAATTGTGAAGAGTGTGTCTTGAGGACTTTACAGGTCACCATATTTGCAAATACCATAACCCATAATTCCCCCCGTAAAATGCTGAGCAAAGAACTGATTCTTTCAGCCGTGGATTGAGTCACTGAAGTATGAATTGGCAGGCTCTTTGGTGACTCTGCCATAACCCATCCCCTCCCCAGCTAGGTCTCAAATTCCTTCCTGCAAACTGGTACCTTTGCTACTAAGCCATCCCTCCTGGCCATTCCATCTACCATTACCTTATATACCCATCTCCTCATCAGACGTATCTCAACTTGACACCCTTAACCCAGTGTTGGTTTTTCTCCCCTACTCACCATTCCTTCTCCCCAAGCATATTTACTTGCTTAGACTCTTCACCTCACAAATCAGCCTTGTAGGGCAGCTTTCAAGTGTCTGTGTCTGTAGATTTATTGTCATTTGGGATTATTCTCTGCCCTAAGTATAATCAGCAAGTTTTAAGAGAAGCTTGCTTGTTATCAGTCTTATATCTTTTGTATGGAAAATGTTTGCTTGGATAGGAAAATTGGGTAGTAGGATGTTTTAAAGGAGGTTTTCACTATTTTATATAATGATCTTTAAGACCATCAGAATGAGATTTATTTAAATGCAAATGTGGCATGCAGTTATTTTGTATTATTTATAGAACTGTGCTTCCTTTTTACTACACAGATAATGTAGAGTTGACTGTATTTAGTTTAGACCAAAGTCATAACTTGCAAAATCAGACTGTGAGGGAACCTTTCGTTCTCAAATCCATTGCTTTTTTGGTATTAATTGAATTGCTATTGTTATTTGAGTATTATCTCCTATGCCAGAGCTAATTTACACCTTTTTAAAATACTGTAAAAAATAAGGAACAAAGGTAAACACTGTTTAAAAAGGTTAAAATAATCATACCATTTTTTTATGACTCAAGATTCTTTTATGTTTAGGCTGACAGGTATTAATTTCCTAAAGGTATTTTTCATCATCTTTGTGGAGATGTTTTGGTAGTGATGGTAGTTGCTTTTTTTTATTATAAAAATCATACACACATGTATATATAATATATACGTATTTCACTGTCTCTAGAGTGAACGGTTTGGTGTTTATCTTTCTAGCCTTTTTTTCCAAACACATACAAACGTACATTGAATTTATTTGTTTTACAAAAATGGGATCATTATAAATATACACACATGTAATCCTAGAATCTGCTGTTTTCTTATATGTCATCTTTGCACATCTGTCCATGCTAGGAAATACATATTACTTTAAAAAAAACAAAACAAACAACCTTTGGGTGACGAAAAGCTTTATAAGAAGGACTCTTTCTTTTTCTTAATTGTTTTTCTGTTTTCTGTCTTGAATGTAGTAGTTAACACAGTGTTTGAATGAATTAATCAATAAAGGAGGGGTCTCCGTAGTGTGATTAAGTTTCAGTATTTCTGGAGGAAGGGTTTCTTTTCAGATAAGATTTTTATTCTCCTATGAAGATTGTGATGACATAGGATTGTAAAGAATGCCACGTGGGATCCAATCTGTAATCTTCCCAGTGTTTTGAGTGATAAATGACCCCAGGGAATCCTTTGTGACTGGGTACGCTCTTTCCCTGTGGTGTTCATTCCACCCTCACAAAGGCTAACCCAAAGAATTAGGGAATTCTTGTAAGGATTCTTGTGGCCAAAAGGGAAATGGAATCTTTTGGAAATCTAACACAGGTATTATCATGGCACTGAACTTTAAAGAAATTGGAATTTAAGAGTTGTTCTAAAGGCAGCTTTAGGAACCTAAATCTATTGCATAAACATAATTCTGCTCTTCTCCCTTAGTCTTCTCTTTTCTGACTTCCCATTGGTTTCCTTACCTCTTTTTCTACCTTACTATTTTAGCTTATTCTTTTTTTTTTTAAGATTGTATTTATTTGAGAGAGAGTGTATGCGTGAGCACAAGCACGAGGGTGGGAGGGGCAGAGGGAGAGGGAGAAGCAGACTGCCCGCCAAGCAGGGAGCCTGATGTGGCTGGATCCCAGGACCCTGAGATCATGACCTGGGCTGAAGGTAGAAGGCACGCATTTAACCGACTGAGCCACCCAGGCGCCCCTTAGCTTATTCTTAATTTTGAGTTGCTCAGACTCCTCAATTCTACTTCATATCTGTCCTCTGTTGGTTCTTTCAACCCCCCCTGCCTATTGTCTGATTCTTTCTACACATTTGGGAATATTTCCAAATTTCTGCTTACAGTCTGATTCCATATTTCTGGAAATATTTCCATATTTCTACCTATAGTCTGATTCTTTCCATAGTTCTAAATTTTTGAAAATGAGATTCTGACCTATTTTATCCCTGCTTGGCTAGAGCTCTCTGTGCCAGACCCTTGTATAGGCTGCCAGTAGTATATGAAATGGATACCATACTTCGGATGCCCACCTTGTCCCAATCAACTGTGAACTAGGAGCAAAGGACAGAATTATTGGAATAAAGAAAGAGTATCTGAGCTTGATCCCTCAGCAGGAATGGAGTCGGCCAGTTTCCCTCAGTATAGGCTGTGCATGTTTCGGCAGGCAGCATGATTTATGTATTTATCTAGTAAGGCCATTAACCTGAAAATATTGCTAATTGGGAAAGCAAGGCTAATGTAAAAGAAACAATCGTGTACATGTTATAATGTATTTTTATAACAAATTTCTTGTTACAGAAGCGGCATCTATTGATTACCAAGAACATTTGAAAACACAGAGAACCAAAAAGAAGAAAACATTTGCAGTCCCCACCAGCCACAGTTTTCTATGAATTTTTAAGTGCTCAGTGTGTAGGAAAAACCGAAAGTGCTATGAGAAGTTCAGAAAACCAAGGGATAATGATGGAGTAGAAGAGAAGTGGGTGGCAAATATGGGGGAAGAAAGAATGTGAGTTAGGCCATGAAATATAGTGAAGATGTCATCTAGAGAGGGCTAGGTTTTTAGTAGGGGTACAATGGAAAAAGACACATAAGAGAGAGGTCTGGGATGTAGATGAAACCTTGAGAGGCTTTCTTTCACCTACTAGACTGGCGAAGATATATGCCTAGCATGGGCTATATTGTAGAGAAACAGTATGGGCTCTAACATAGAGAAACAGGGACTCTGCCCGACTGATAGAAATGTGAACTGGCAAAATCTTTTTGGTTGGACAATTTGGCAAGATATATTAAAATTTATAGCATGCTGACCCTTTGATCCAGCAATTTCATTTCTAGGAATTAATTACAAGAAATATTCATGTAAGTATGCAAAGATATAGATGTGTACAGAGTTTGTATAAGATTGTAATTATTCTCTCCTTAGAAGTTTAGTAGAATTTGTCAGTGAGGTCATCTAGGTCTGGAGGTTTGTTTATGGGAAGAGTTTTGAGGTTTGATTCAATTTCTTTAATGATTATAGGTCTGGTTAAGTTGTAAATTTTCTTTTTCTACACCCACATCCAGGATTTTTAATTTTTAGCAGAAAGGTTAATCCAGATGTCTGGCCTGCTGTATATCACTTCATATTACAACAGTGTTGAGTGCTAAGTCGCGCAACTTTGAATTGAATTTCACATTTTAAAAAACGCTTTCTCTAGGGCGCCTGGGTGGCTCAGTTGGTTAAGCGACTGCCTTCGGCTCAGGTCATGATCCTGGAGTCCCGGGATCGAGTCCCGCATCGGGCTCCTTGCTCAGCGGGGGGTCTGCTTCTCCCTCTGACCCTCCCCCCTCTCATGTGCTCTCTCTCTTTCTCTCTCTCAAATAAATAAATAAAATCTTTAAAAAAATAAAATAAAAAACGCTTTCTCTAGCTTTTATCCTGAATGATCAAGGACTAAATAAAATAAATCTCTCATCTCTTACTAACGTGCATTTTATTTTCCAGCTACAACATCAACAACGACCACCACCACTGTCACGACCACCACCACTACTACCACAACCACCAGTGGATTTACCTTGAACCTAAGGTCACTGACATCATCTGGGATTAATAACATTGTTCCAGTCGGTATTAATTCCCTACCATTTACTTCGACTGTTAAGTAAGCCTGTTTCTTGGAAAATTTGCGTGAATTTCATTTTATTTATCATACACAAGGTGTAATTTGCTTGTGTAGCTTTAGAATAGTGTTTGAAAGTTAGGTAAATGACCCAGTCGAAGGAGCAGATAAAGGATTTCTGTAGCTTAGGAAGTGGAACGATTAATAGCACATCTTTGTTTTATTACCATTATAATGTGATTATTACTGTTACTAATAACAGCTAACATTTACTGTGCAATTACTATATGTTTAGCAATGTGACAGTGCTTTACAAACATCATGTCATTTAATCCTCACAATAACTCTATGAGGTAGGTGCTATTTTTGTTCCCATTTTATAGATGAGAAAACTGGAGCACGTAGAAATTTTTTACTGTGCCCCTGGTAATGGTAGAGCCAGGATTAAAATCCAGGCAGTTGAACTCCAGAGGCTGTATTCTTAGAACCTATGCCATGTTCTTCTCTAATTGTTTTTTTTTAATTAAACCTTTTATTTTGAGACCCTTGTAGATTCACATGTGCTTCTAAGAAATAATACAAAAAATCCTGTGTGTCCCTTACCTAGTATCTCCCGATAATAACATCTTGCAATGCTATTGGTGCAGTGATACAATCAAGATATAGAACAGTTCTATCAGTATGAGGATCCTTCCTGTTGCCCATTTATAGCCACACTTACTACCAATCCCTCCTTTCCCTGACCCTGGGCAACAATGAATCTGTTCTCCATTTCTATAATCTTGACATTTAAAAATGTTACACAAATAAATCCTATATTATGTGATCTTTGGGCATTATTTATTTAATTTTTTTTTAGTCATACTTCCTTGAGGTAAGTTTGTTATGTGCTTCAGTAGTTTGTTCTTTTTTATTTCTGAGTAGTAGCCCATGGTATTGTGGATGTACTATAGTTTAACTATTCACTTGTTGATGGACTTCTAAGTTGTCTCCAGTTTCTGGCTATTATGAATAAAGTTGTTTTTGTATTGTTTTGTTTTGTTTTTGTTTTTTGTTTTTTTGTGTGTGAATGTAAGTCTCATTTCTCTGGGATAAATGCCCAGAGTGCAGTTACTAGGTGGTAGAATTGTTGCATGTTTATTTTTTTTAAGATAATGCCAAATTCTTTTCCAGAGTGGCTGTGCCATTTTACACACTTGACAGCAATGTATGAGGGAGCCAGCTTGTCCACCTTCTCACCAGGATCTGGTGTTGTCACAATTTTTTATTTTAGCCCTTCTAATAGATGTGAAATGTTATCTCATTGTGGTTTTAATTTGCATTTTCCTGATGACTAATGATGTTGAGCATCTTTTTATGTGTTTATCTGCCACCAGCATATCCTCTTTGGTGACGTGCCTGTTTATGTCATGTCTTTTGTCTGTTTTCTACTTGAATTTCTTTTTTTAATTTCAAGTGTTGAGAGTTTTATATATTCTAGGTTCAGTCTTGTCAGATAGGTGGTTCATAAATATTTTCTCTAAATCTGTAACTTGTCTTTTTGTCTTTTTAACAGGGTACTTTGCCAAACAAAAACTTTTAATTGATGAAGTCTAGTTTATCAATTTTTCCTTTAATGGACCATGTTTTAATGTCAAGTTTAGGAGATCTTTGCCTAACTCTAGATACCAAAGATTCTCTGTTTTTTTCTAAAAATTTTACAGTTTTACATTTTGCATTTAAAACAGGAACCACTTTGAGTTAATTTTTGTATGAAGTGTGAGTTTTAGAGCAAGGTTCATTTTTTTTTGTCTTGGGTGTCCAATTTTTCCAGCATCATTTGTTGAAAGGCAGTCTTCAACTTCCTCCATTGAAATACTTTTACACCTTTGTCAAAAATCAATTGGACATATTTGTGTCAAATTTTATTCTGCCTCAATTGGTACAATATTTTAGGAATTTTCCTCTTTAGTTTAATAATATAGTGAATTACATTGATTGATTTTCAGATGTTGAGCAGCCTTACATACATAGGATAAATTCGACTTGGTCATGGTGTATAATTTTTTTTATACATTTTTAGATTAGTTTGCTAGTATTTTGCCTGAGGACTTTGATATTTAAGTTCATGAGAGATATTAGTCCATAGTTTTGTTTTCTTTCATTTTTTATTCTGTCTTCATTTTTGATATGTGAATAATAGTAGCCTCATAAAATGATCTGGGAAGTATCCTCTTCTGTTTTATAGAAGGAATTGTATAAAATTATATAAAAAATTGTTTGTTAAATGTATGGCAGAATTCTCCAGTGAAACCTCTGGGCCTGGGTATTTCTTTTTTGGGAGCTTTTAAGTTACAAATCAATTTCTTTAATGGTTCTAGGACTATTCATTATCTGTTTCATCTTTGATAAGTTCTGGTAGTGTGTGGTATTCAAGGAATTGGTTTGGTTTTCTAAGTTGTTGAATTTATGACTATAAAGTTGTTTGTAGTATTTGCTCTTTGTGCTTTTAATAGCTGTTTCATTTCTTATATTGGTGTTCCATACCTTTCTTTTATCAATTTTATTCATCCTTTCCCAAAGAAGTAGCTTTTGTTTCACTGATTATTCTCTATTGTTTTCATTTTCAATTGCATTGATATCTACTATTTATTATTTCTTTCCTTCTGATTGTGTTGGGTTCATATTGCTCTTTTTCTGGTTTCTTGAGGTATGAACTTAGATTATTGATTTGAGACCTTTCCCTTTTCCTAATGTAAGCGTTTAATGCTATAAATATCCTCACCATTGCATTAGCTGTGTACCACAAAAAAGATTTCATTTGTTTAGTTGAGAGAGAGAGAGAGGGCGAGAGAGAGAGAGAGAGAGAGAGCACATGAGTGGGGGGGAGGAGCAGAGGGAGAGGGACAAGCAGACTCCCCGCTGAGTGGGGAACCTGATGTGGGGTTTGATCCCAGGACCCTGAGATCATGACCTGAGCCGAAGTCAGACACTTCAACTACTGAGCCACCCAAGTGCCCCTGTGTGTACCACATGTTCTGTTATGTTTTATTTTCCTTTTCATTCAATTCTGTCTACTTTTCAAATTGCCTTTACGAATTCCTCTTTAACCCATAGATTATTTAGAAGTATGTTGTTTAATTTCCAAGTGCTTGCAGATTTTCATATTTTCTTTCAATATCGATTTCTAATTTGATTCTATTATAGTTGAAGAACATGCTCTGTATGACTTGAGTCATTTTGTATTTGTTCAGGTTCGTTTTATAATGAAGTTAGAGTCTTTCTTGGTGGCTGTTCCATGGGCACCTGAAAGTTGTGTTTTCTGCTGTTGGGTGGAGTGTTTTATATATGATGATGAGTTCCTACTTCATTGTATTTTCAGATCTGTATCCTTGCAGCTTTTCTCTCTATTGCTTCTTTTAGTTGTGGAGAGTGGCAGTTTGAAGTCTCCAACTAGAATTGTGAAATCCTCTGTTTCTACCTTGCTCTATCTGTTTTGCTTTTTGTATTTTGAGGTTCTGCTATTTGGTTGCCTACATGTTTAGGATTGTTGGCCTTCCCTGGTGCTTTGATTCCTTTATCATTATGCAATGTCCCTCTTTGGTAATTTTCTTTGCTCTAAGAAAGTGACCTTATTTGGTATTAATATAGCCATCTCTTAAAAAATTAATCTTGCATGTATATCTTTTTCCATCGCTTTACTTTCAATCTATTTGTGTCTGTATTTGAAATGAGTTTCTTGTAGATAGCATATGGATGGATCATAATTTTTATCCACTCTGCCAATTTCTGCCTTTTAGTTGGTATATTTAGCACATTTACATTTAAGCTAATTACTGATATGTTAGGGCTCAAGTCTGCTCTTTTATTACTTCTGTTTTTGTTTTTCTTTTGTTTTTTAATTTCCCTATGGGATACTCAAACATTTTTTAGGGTTCCATTTTGTTCTATTTTTATAGTGTTTCTGAGTATATTGCTTTGTATAATTTTCTTACTAGTTGCTCTAGGTATTACAGTATACATATGTAACTTCTAATAGTCTAGTCATGTTGACATTTTACCACTTTGGTAATTCCATTTAGCTCCCTTAACTCTTCTTACCTTTTAAGTTTAATTGTCTCAAGTATTTCTCTGTGTACATTGAACACCACATTATGTGGTGTTACACCTTTTGCTTCAGCCATCAAATATGACTTAAAAAATTCATGAGAAGTAGGATAGTCTATTATATTTATCCTTTTTGTTCATTTTGACTTTCCTTTAAGAAGTTCCAAGCCTTCTTCTGTTTTCTTTTTTTTTTCCTGATTAGCCAAATTTTTTTTTTTTAAGATTTTTATTTATTTATTGAGAGAGATAGTGATAGAGAGAGAGCATGAGAGGGGGGAGGGGCAGAGGGAGAAGCAGACTCCCCGCCGAGCAGGGAGCCCAATGCGGGACTCGATCCAGGGACTCCAGGATCATGACCTGAGCCGAAGGCAGTCGCTTAACCAACTGAGCCACCCAGGCGCCCTGATTAGCCAATTTTTGAGGGTAGGTTTGCCAGCAACAAAAAAATCTTGCAAGGAATATCTTTATTTTCCTTTCATTTCTAAAGGACATTTTCACCAGATAGAGAAGTTGTGGTCAACAGTTTTTGGTTTTTTTTTTTTTCTTTCAGTACTTGAAAAATGTTGTGACACTTCCTTTTAGCCTCCATGGTTTAAGATGAGAAATATGCTGTCATTCGAATTGGTATTACCTTTTAAGTAATGTGTTGTTTCTCTCTGGCTACCTTCAAGATTGTTTTTCTTCCTTTATCTTTAGTTTTCAGAAATTTAAGTATTATGTGTCTTAGTGCAAATTTCTTTGAGTTATTCTGTTTGGGGTTTGCTCAGCATCTTAAATTTGTAGATTTATGTCATTTGCCAAATTTGGGAAGTTTTCACCTTTATTTTTCAGAATACTTTTTCAATCCCATTTTCTCTTTTCCTCTCTAATCTATCATCCTCCGATGGTACGAATGTTACCTCTTTTATTATTGTCCTCTAGGTTCTTTAGATTTTTTTTTTCATTTTTTGTGTCTTTTTCTCTTTGCTGTTCTGTAAATTCTATTGATCTACTCTCAAGTTTGTTGATTCTATCCTTTGTCATCTTCACTCTAGTATCAAACTCTCTAAGTGAGCTTTTTATTTCAGTTATTTTAGTTTCCAGTTCTATAATTTCCATTTGATTGTTTTTTGTAACCTCAGTTTCTTTGCTGAGATTTTCTAGTTTTCGTTTGTTTCTAGAAAATTCATAATTGCTTATTGGAGTATTTTTTGATGGTTGCTTTAAAATTCTTTTCAGAGAATTCCAATGTCTGATACCTCTCACTGTCAGTGCCTTTGGATTGTCTTTTCTCTTTTGAGTTGTGATTTTCCTGGTTCTTGATAGGACAGATAATTTTCAGTTGTATTCTGGACATTTATGTCTGTTATGTTAGGGGAGTCTTTTTTTCAAATCAAGTAATCCTTTTGTTGGGGTGTAGTACAAGGGTTGGGCATGTTTGTATCTTCAGCTTCCTACTAGACCCTGCCCATACCACCCCAGTACAAGTAAAGCCTCGATGCAGATGAATGGTATGGAAGTTCAGCTACCCCCTCAGCCCTGCTGATTCATTCCCCATGAAAGTGGGGCAATGGGTCACACCACTTCATTGCCTCAAGTGGGGATGTAAGCTTAGCCCTCAGCTGGGTCCCTGGGACCCCAGAACAAGAGGAAGTGGGGTACTAACTCATACTGCTTAGTTGCTGCAGGGTAGAGGCAGAATTTCAACTTCCTTTGGGGCACCACTGGCACAAAAGGAGTGAGGAAGCAGGATATCAACTATTATGCCTTTTATCACTTCATTCAGCCTTTTTGGTGCTGGTTTGGTATGGAAGCCTAGCTCCCTCCTGGGTCTCGCTGACACAGGCTTTGGGGAGAAAGGGGGTCAGAGTGCTGACTAGCCCTGCTTTGCCCTGCCTCATTCAGCCTTGATTTCTCCAGTAGGTGTGGAGGTTAAGCTCCCCACTGAGCCTTGCTGACACTCGGGTTGTGGGAAGTGGAGTCCTTACTAGCTCCAGTTTGCATTACTTTGTTCAGTCTCAGTGATGCCAGGTGTGTATAGAGGTTAAGCTCCCCATTGGGTCCCACTGATACTGAAGACAAGCGGTGAAGCCTAACGGTAACTAATCCTTTCTCGCTCTGCTTTATTAAGTCTTATTGCCGCTGGGTGGGTATTTAGATTCAGCTTGTCACTGGCCTTCGCTGACAGAACCCTGGTAGAGAAAAGAGAACACTACCTGCCTCTACTGAGCAGAGAATTGATGATTACCTCTCTGCTCAGTCCTGCTGACACTGCCCCAGCAAAGGAATCAGAGCATTGCCTGGTTCTGCCAGTCACGGGCTGGCAAATCAGCTGCCTGCTTAGCCTATTTGATACTACCTAGCAGGGGAATCAGAGTTCTCCTCGGTTCTGCCTAGTGGAGGATGGAAGATCAGCTGCCTACTCTGTTTTGTGGATGCTACTTAGATTGGGAATGGATCATTTTGACTAAAAGCTATGGGGAGAGGGAGTCCTGTCTCTGGCCACATGCACCCAAGATGGAGCTTGCATCGTGCTGAGCTGAGGGTGAAGGAAGGGAGCAGCTGTGGCACAGACTTTAGCTGTTCTTACTGAAATTTGGTAGATTTCTTAATAGATTTTTTTTTTTTTGCTATATTCCTTTAGGGTCATTTCCAAAGATTTTGAAATGGTTGTTTTTAAAATAATCTTGACCACCTATGCTGGTTTTGTTGGGGAGCAGGTCTGAAAAACTCATGTGTTATTTTCTTCTCTAAGTCCTCCTATGTTATTCATTTAAAAAATACAGTTATACTTTTAAAAATATGATCATATGATCTTACTGTATCCTTTTTTTAGTGCAATTGTAACTCCCGTAATGACATACGGTCAGCTGGAGGGTCTGATAAACAAATGGAACCTTGATTTAGAGGATCAAGAGAGGTACTTTCTTCACCAGGCCACTCAGGTCAATGCTTGGGACCGTACATTGATTGAAAATGGTGAGAAGGTAAGAAGATAGTCTCATTAATCTACCTGTATTGTACAAGTATTTTCAAAGTCTCATTAATCTACCTGCATTGTACAAGAGCATTGTACACAGACCTGTGTTTTGTGGTTAATTTTCTATCCCAATATTGGTGATCAACTGAAAAATATTTTCCTTTGTAACGAGTTGAATTAGGAAATTGTTCATATTTGAAGTGTATATGAGAAAATTAATATTGCCTTAAAATTACAACATAAATTCAAATATTTACATTATTGTATTCTTGTTTTCCTTTATAGATTACTACTTTACATGGAGAAGTGGAAAAAGTGAAACTGGATCAGCAGAGGTAGAACCTTAGACTCCCTAGGTTGAAAGATTAAAGATCTATTTCTTTGTCCATTCTTTTTTCCTTGTTGTAATTTTTGACATTGATTTTGACGCTCCAAATTCCTTTCATCGGCCCTTCCATTGACTTGTTTTTTTTAGGCTGGAACAAGAATTGGATTTTATCCTGTCACAGCAGAAGGAACTGGAAGATCTCTTGACCCCTTTAGAGGAGTTTGTGAAGGACCAGAGTGGGTCTGCTTATCTGCAGCATGCAGATCAGGAGCATGGAAAGACGTAAGTAACTGAATAAGGATCAAGGAATGGGACAAAACTTAGCTACTTTAAAAAAAAGGGAAAAAATAGAATTGAAGGGCAGGGAATAAAAATTGGTAGAAAAGGACAAATTCTTGTAGTTGCCATTTATCAACTTATTTGGCTGTTTTCCGTTTAACTTTTCAAGATGCTTGAAAATGAAGTAATCATTCTGGCAGTTTTGTTTTATAGCATTTTGTACACTTATTAATCTCAAGCTTATACTCGACCACTGTAAAGTTTTTATATTTGTCAAGTTTGTTCTTAAATTAGAAATACAAGTTTTATGTGTGTGGTGTCATAGTATCGTGGGATATTTATGGTCTCCTGTTTATATGGACTCTTTTAAACCTAATGTTCATGCAATTGCTTCAGTGATAAATCATTGGCTATTTTAAAGGCAATTTGTTAATCTGGGGACAGACTGTACAGCTTTCAAAAATGGAATGATTTTGTCAGTGTCTTGGGCTGAATATATTTTTGTGTGTGTGTGAGATTCAGTCTTTTTGTTGATAATATTATCAAGTGTCCCCACAGTAACTTTATCTCTCCGGAACTGAAATTTGGTAATCAGGCCAAATAATAAAGTGTTATTAGGAAAACTTGTCTGAATGTGCTACATAAACCAGACTGAGACCAAATCAGACTCCCTTTGGTACTGAATTATTAGTGAGTTAAGACTGAGCTTATTTTCTAAAGGCTTGCTAATTAACTTTTTTGTAGGTGCATTAAATATGGTAAGTAAGGCTAATCTGTATGGATCCTAGTTCTATTTCTGCTTTTGTATTTCAGCCTTTGTGAATCTTTTTTTTTTTTCTTTGCATTGCTTTCTATGCACTCTCTCATTTTTTGAAACCTAGAGACTTACACTTTTGGCCATGAGTACCTAACTGTAATTTGAAGGAATAATGAAACATAGTTCTTTCCAATTGTTTTTATGTAGTCAGATTTATATTGTGATGGAATCTTCAGTAGGACCTTCACCAATCAAGGTAACCAATTACCTTTAAATACTCTGGGACAGAAAGGCGATAGATAGTCATCAATAAATCTCATTGAATCCTTTTATCTTTATAGACATTAAGGTTGAAAAACTCTGATCACTTTAATTCATAAACATATTATTGACTAGGTTAAGTGTGTATGTATGTATGTGTGTAAATAGTTCAGGTGGAAATCTTGAGAATTTAGCCAACTAATATTTGCTATGAACTTAGCAGATTTATCTGCCTTTGATTATTGTTAATCTCATTTCTCAAAACATCTTTTGTTGGATGATGGAGTATATTTATATAAGGTTTTACTTTGAAAATTTACGTATTTAAAATCATTGAAGACATCTCAGCACTTATTGAATACTCCTAAACACCGAATAACTGTATCATGTATCTAAATGTCTTATGAGTTCATTGTAAGAGCTAAAAAGAGTTTCATTGCTTCAGAGCTCCCCAGGACATTATCCAGAGGGTAAATAGGTGACTATAAAAATGCCGAGATGCTTAAAAGCCTTCACCTATGGAGTCTTTTTAGAATATGGTAATAATAAGGTCATGAATGCCGCCTACATAAAAATGTGCCATTTTGTCATAACTGAGACCTACTTAGAAGGCAGGGGGACTTGGTGAAAATCCAGCTGGCAGGATCATCTTTGTATGTCAGTAACGAGACATAGCGGCGAAAGCATTTCTTGTTAATCTCTATTTTACCTGCTTTTTCAGTTATAAATTAGCAGAAAATATAGATGCTCAGCTGAAACGAATGGCCCAAGATCTCAAGGACATTATTGAGCACCTGAATACATTTGGAAGTCCTGCTGACACTACTGACCCGGTGTGTGAACTGCTTTATCTCTTTAGACAACCAAGATTTTAGTGTGAAATTAACATTCTGTGAGTTCCTTTAGCTAGTGCTGTCTTCTTGTGCTCCTTACCTGCCTCTACAGATATGAACTTTGGGGTATGGTTAAGTGGGGCAGGAAAGATTTAGGAGCAGAAAAGTTTGAGATTTTGTGATTATTCTCAGGAGGGTAAAAAAAAAAAAGACGACTTTCCTCCTTAAATGTTCAGGGTTTTCTCCCTGTTCTTCACATAGCTAAATATGTCCCTGTACTTACTTTTCTGTTCCCTTACTCATTGGCTATTTCATTCTTCCTTTTACATGTTTTTCTATGGATTCATGTAATTGTGAGTATATATGTTTGGGTTTATTAGGTATATCCAGGCAATCCTTAACTTATGACTGGGTTATGTCTTAAAAGTTTGGTAAGTCAACTATTTGAGTCTTAAAATATATTTTTCCATAGAAACTTTGTTAGATGTGATTATTAGGTTTCCCCCTGCCTTGTACAATCTACCTACCTCATAATGTCAGTGTACTTTAGCATGGGAAAATAAACCTGAGGCTCCAATTAGAGGGTTGAGATGTTTTGAATTAATTTGGCCATAAGAAAGGATTGGTACTTTTCTCCTTTATCTATGCTCTAATTAAAGAGCTTATTTTCCTCTACCTTTCCCAATTGTCTTAGCAACTAAATGGGAGTTCTCCTTTTTCCCCTTTCTCACTCCCTGGCAGTAATGGTAAGAGGAATCTCCCATTGTAGGAACTCCCATTGTACTCTCTGTCTGTTGAGTATAATTCAGAGTGGGGCCAGAATCTGGGTAGGTGAGGACAAAGAATATATATCGTGATTATTCTTTAGTAAGCTCTTTGTCCAATCATACAGACAGTTCTTTATCTATGTACACATTACTAGCTTTTTTTAATTATAAAGAGACAGCATGGTATAGTTGAGAAAGCATTAGAATTTTATTTAAGTCACTTAATCTCTCTGGATCTTAGCTCCTTCTTTTGCAAAATGTCAAGGGTGGACTTAAATGATCTTGAAGTCCCCTCTAGCTATAAAAAGTATGCCATTCTCTACTTTGGGTGAATCTAAAATTGAACAAAGACAAATACAAATTAGTCTGGGATTATCCATGCTACCATCTCCTTGTGTTCACATAGATGATCAAGAGTTGACAGAATATAAGTTTTCTTTTTATGAAATATTAGCTCAGCATTGTGATTATAAAGTCCACAATTATAAAAGAATTTTTATGCATAAATAAATACATGCAGATTTAGACATGAGGCAGAGCTGAAATCTAGTCTCTCTGTGTTGAAATAAAATAAGAAAACCTGAACAGAGTAAGTAAAAAGGGACTGTAATCCTATCCTTATCCTTTTTTTCTACTTGGATTGTTTTATTTTGGTAGTGGGGAGTAAATGGTGTGAGTCTTTTGTTTTTGTTTTTCCTCACAAGGGTGATTGAGATGTTTAAGATGAGTGAATTAAAGATAATTGCTGCTCAATAGCAGGACAAAAGAAGCAAGAGATCAGCAACAATTCATCTCTTTTCTCAGATAGCATAAATCACTGGGCAAGAAGCAGAGAAAACATTTGCTGAACAATAATATTCTTTTTTTTTTTTTTTAAAGATTTTATTTATTTATTCATGAGAGACAGACAGACAGAGAGAGAGAGAGGCAGAGGGAGAAGCAGCTCCCAAGGAGCAGAGAGCCCGATGCGGGACTCGATCCCAGGACCCTGGGATCATGACCTGAGCCGAAGGCAGACGCTTAACCATCTGAGCCACCCAGGCGCCCTGAACAATAATATTCTTGAAGATAATTTATTGTAACCAGATCAACAAAGCTTCCTTACTGTGGGCCATACACCAGGGTAGAAAAATAGCCACAGTGTTTAACACTATTCACAGTGTTGGGATTTACCTGTTTATTTTTACTGTTTGTATGCAGGGGCAGTGGAGGGGGATGGGGTAGAGAGTAGGGGAGTGTGGGGGAGATGGGAGAGACCACCTAATACCTAAAATTTTTATTAAGCAGATCCATATTGTGGTATATGGTCTTCAGTTACATTTTCTTACAAAAACTCATTGTTCCTACTACAAGTTGTATTTCTATTTGTTATGTTAAAATACACGAAATTTCTGTTTTCATTACATACTGTTCTTTTAAGTGTGGTAACATTTTCATTTCCTCCTACTTCCATTATTATCCTGGACTTTACTAGAATAGTCTTCAAAAGCATTCTAAGAAATTTTAAATGTCTAGTGTGTCTCATTACAAAGTTAATACATATACTTACTCAATGTATTAAGCTTGGAAAATACGGAAATCTGTGAAGAAAATTAAATCACCTCTATTACCAGTACCCTGCTAATATATTGGTATATTTTTTCCAAGTCTTTTTGCTATGCTGGTAAAAATTCTCCTTTTGTTTTAAATAGCATTGGAAACATACGTATATGGAGTTTTGTATTCTGTCTTCATTTCATATTCTTTCACAGTGTTTTCTCAAAATTTTAAGCATTCTTTGAAAACTGGAAATCTTTGAAAATATTTATGACTTTATAATATTTCATTAGAGGTGATTTTACCATAATATGTTGAATTACTGTTTTAAATTGATGGAGAGACTGTTTCCAATTTTTTGCCATTATACAGTTACTCTGTAATGACCAGTTATGTTTAGATCTGATTATTTCCTCTGGATAGGTTCCTAGAAGTAGAATATATTGAGTTAAAAGGTATGAATATTTTAAGACTGTTGATATATATTGTAAAAATTACATTTTGAAGGGTTGGGTCAATTTTTATTACTATAGGCTGTATAAGAATGTACCTATTTTCTCCACACAGTTGACAACTGAGTATTACCATTTATTAAAAATTGCTGACTTGGAAATCTTGCTATTTGCAACAATATGGTTGGACCTTGAGGGCATTATGCTAAGTGAAATTAAGTGAGACGGAGAAAGACAAATACCATATGATCACACTTATGTGTGGAATTTAAAAACACCAACACCAAAAATACATGCTCATAGATACAGAGAACAGATTGGTGGTTGCCAGAGGCAGGGTTGGGTGGTGGGTGAAATGGGTGAAGGTGGTCAAAAGGTACAAGTTTTCAGGTATAAAATAAGTTATGGGGATGATAATGTACAGCATGGCGACTATTGTTAATAATACTGTATTGCAAATTTGAAAATTGCTAAGCGATTAGATCTTTAAATGTTATTATCACAAGAGAAAAAAGTTTTTAACTACATATGGTGATAGATGTTAACAAGACATATTGTGGTGATCATTTTGCAATATATACAAATAGCAAACCATTACGTTATATGCCTGAAACTAATAGAATGTTATCTGTCAGTTATACCTCAACAAAAAATTGCTGATTTGGTTGAAAAAAGTAGTATTTTAAATTTTATATGAATTTTGTGTCTTGTGAAATGTCTCTTAGTGTTTTTTTAACTTATTTTTGTACTGTAGTAGTCAGTGTCTTATTGAATTACAGGAGTCAAATTCTTGACAGTTACAAAATAGTTAGATTGAAATAATAGAAAGATGTAATGAACATTACAAATATGAAATAGCAAAAAAAAGCCATTAATACTTTATATATCCTCAGTCCATTTCTTACCAAAAGAAATGAAAAGTCATTTCCTAATTTCAATTTTTTATGTTTGTTTTGTTTACCATATCAGAATTATCATAATTAAAAATTTTGTATGTGTTTTTAGCTTCAGCAGATCTGCAAGATCCTGAATGCTCATATGGACTCTCTACAGTGGATTAATCGGAATTCAGGTGGGAGTTTATTTGTATGTGAAGCTATCTGTTATTGCAAGTAGAAAATGTGACACAAGTCAGGTTTTGTGCACCACGACCACACTCAAATGAGAGCTTGGTTATAGGGGTTTAACTTAACTTACAGTATGTATACATTAATTCTGAAGAACTATAATTGCTTGTTTTTATAAAATGGAACACAGTAAGAATAAACTAGAAACTAATGAAAATAGGGGCTGTATAGGAATGAGGTTGGGGAGATAGGGACAGAAGCAGGACTTCTCTATGTATACCTCTTAATATAGTTTTGATTTTTGGCCCACATAAAAGTTTAAATACTCAAAAACTAGAATTAAGCCAAAAATACTGGGAAGAAAGACAAATGCTAAAATTGGATACATACAAACTGAAACCAAGCAAACCTGGGTAACTATAACATAATCATCCAGCTCAGATAACTTTTGAACATGGTGTTCTTGATAGTACATTCTTACTAGTATATAATTTAAGGACAGAAAGAACTGCAAAGAAATCTTAAACTTTCTTAATAGGTTATTGTTAGTTTCAGAATTATACTATATAATAATGATATTATTGCCATCCTATATATTGTAGGAAAAAGCAGAGGCATAAGGATAGTGATGATAATGGAAGACAAGATAAAATAGAAGATACTATTCTGTTCCTTCTTTTATGTTTGCATTGTAAATTTGATGCAAATATTAGTATGACTTCCTGGTCCCTTGTTCTGTTTATAGAAAGGGCCAAGAAGCAATGACTAACCCCAGTAGCAATGAACAGCACATCAAGAACCTAAATCTTGGTTTCTAAAAACCATTCCCATTAAAAGTAACCAAGGCTTCTTGGGGAAATATCTAATCTCAGGTTTCAGGCAGGGAATGTGCAGGTTGAGTTTGGAACTTTTTTATTTTTATTTTTTGAGAGAGAGAAAGAGAGAGAGAGAGTACAAGCATGGGAAAGGGGGCAGAAGGAGAGGGAGGGAGAGAGAATTTTAAGTAGGCTCCATGCTCAGCACAGAGCCTGACCTGGGGCTTGATCTCAGGACCCTGAGCAGAAATCAAGAGTCAGATGCTTAACCGGCTGAGCCACCCAGGCACCCCAGGAACTTTTCATAGAAGAAAATAGATTGTTCAAAACTAATGGTGTTATATCAGGACACAAAACTGTGCTTGAATGGGCTTCTATTGGCCAAATTAGAATGGTTTGAACATCAAAAAGAATATCAGTAATGGATTATTATAATACACTGAGGGGGGGAAATCCATGAATCTGCAGTGATAGGAGAGGGAGGAGGAGAGGGAGAAAGTGGGGAGGGGGAGGGAGAGAGAGAGAAATGGGAAGTGCAGGGAAAAGCCTTTATAGAAGTGTGACAGCTAATAATTGTGGAGAGAATGATAGAATTAGAGAATCACAATTAAAAAAATTTCAACAGAGCATTATTAAGCTTACCCTGATCTTGAATACCTTGCCTCATTTATAAAATGTTTCAGCTGTCAGTCATTTCTTGGCAGAAAAAATATGCTAGAAGGAATGGACTAAATACAGATTGCATGTTACTGGGTTAATTTAAAAAAGCAGTTTTATTGAAGTATAATTTACATATCATAAATCTCACCCATTTTAGTATGTGTGCTGCCTAAGCGAGCACAATTTCACCCATTTTAATTGTACAGTTTAGTGAGAAAGCCACCATTTTGCCTCCCCAGCATCATGATGATTCAGGCAAGGGTCATCAGTAAATGCTAATACCACTGAGTTTAAGATTGTTGGGAAACAGGATATTTACATGGTCTCAAAAGTATCACTCCACACATTACTTAAAAATTTTAAAGAAGAAAATGTGCCTTTACAACAGAACTATCTGACAAGTACCACATTAACCAAGTGATAAAATTTAATATCACTAATAGTGGGATAACTCCATGTGCCTCTTGATCTGACATGATAAGAAATATACAATATCATAGATGTAATATTCTTATCAAAACTGGTTCATCTGAATCTAATCATAAGAAAACAATCAGACATTCTACAGGTAGAGACATTTTGGAAGATAATGTAGTATTCTTCTAAAAAATGTTTAACTGAATAAAATCACAAAATAATCAGACACTCTATGTGTAACACATTGTGAAACATAATTGGCTTGGGACTTTTTAAAAAGTCAGTCATGGGAAACAAAAAAAATTCAAAACCAAGTTAAGGGGATTGTCTCAGATTAAAAGAAACATAACAATTAAGTCGTCTACTATGTTAATTTTGGATACTGGATCAAAACCAAGAAGACTTTCTTCTCTTCTCTCCTTCTTTCTTTCATTCTTTTGTTCTTTCTCTCTTTCATTCTCTCGTTCGCTTTCTTTCCCCCTTTCTTTCCTTGCCTTCCTTCCTTTCTTACTGCCTGCCTTCCTTTCTTTTTATTTTTTATTGAGGTATAATTGAACTATGACATTGTATTAGTTTCAGGTGTACAAATAATGATTCAACATTTATATACACTGTGAAATGATCATCACAATAAGTCTAGTTAGCAACCATCATCATACAGAATTACAAAAAAATTTTTCTTGAATTTTTTTTGTTTCCCATGACTGACTTTTTTTAAAAAGTCCCAAGCCAATTATATTTCACAATGTGTTACACATAGAGTGTCTGATTATTTTGTGATTTTATTCAGTTAAACATTTTTTAGAAGAATACTACATTATCTTCCAAAATGTCTCTAGCTGTAGAATGTCTGATTGTTTTCTTATGATTAGTGATATTAAATTTTAGTATTTACTTCCTTGGCAACTTTCAAGTATACACGAAAGTATTATTGACTATAGTCACCATGCTGTACATTACATCCCCATGACTTATTTATTTTATAATTGCAGTTTGTACCTCTTGACCCCCTTCACCCATTTCGCCTTCTCCTCTCTAGCAAACACTGTGCTGTTCTCTGTATTTATGAGTTTTGTTTTGTTTTGTTTGTTCATTTGTTTTTTAGATTCCACATATAAGTGAAATCATATGGTATTTGTCTTTGTCTGACTTATTTCACATAGCATAATACCCTTTAGTTCCATCCTTGTTGTCACAAATGGCAAGATTTCATTTTTTTATGGGTGAGTAGTATCCCATTGTGTGTGTGTGTGTGTATACCAAATCTTCTTTTTCTAAAAAAATTTTTAATTCCAGTATAATTAATGATGTTGTATTAGTTTCAGGTGTATAATATAGTGATTCAACAATATCTGTACATTACTCAGTGCTCATCATGATAAGTGTACTCTTAATCCCCTTCACCTATTTCACCCATCCCCCCATCCACCTCCTCTCTGTGTTCCAAATCTTCTTTATCCATTCATCCAGCAATGGACACTAAAGACTAGGGCCATATCTTGGCTATTGTAAATAATGATGCAATTAACAAAGGGCATGTATATCTTTTCAAATTAGTGTTCTCATTTTCTTCAGATGAACACATGGTACTGGAATTGCTGGGTCATTGGTAGTTCTATTTTTAATTTTTTGAGGAACCTCCATACTGTTTTTCATAGTGCCTACACCAAAGTGCATGAGGGTCCTTGTTTTTCCACATTCTCACCAACACTTGTTATTTCTTATCTTTTTGATAATAGGCATTCTGACAGGTAGAGGTGATATCTCATTGTGAATTTGATTTTCATTTCCCTGATGATGACTGATGCTGAGCATCTTTTCATATGTCTGTTTGCCATCTGTGTGTCTTCTTTGAAAAAAATATCTATTCATGTCTTCTGCCCATTTTTAATTGGATTGTTTTTCTGGTATTGAGTTGTATAAGTTCTTTATATATTTTGGATATTAACCCCTTATTGGATATATCATTTGCAAATATCTTCTCCCATTCAGTGGGTTGCATTTTCATTCTGTTAATGGTTTCCTTTGCTGTGCAGATTTTTTTTTTTTAAATATAGTCCTATTTGTTGTTGTTGTTTTTTAATTTTGTCACCTTCGCTTTTGGAGTCAGATCCAAAAAATCATTGCCAAGACCGATGTCAAGGAGCTTATCACCTATGTTTTCTCAAGAAGATGTTATTTAGAACAATTGGGGAAACTGAATAAGAACTGTATATTAAATGATATTAATGAATTTTTTTATTTTTTTACGTGTGTTACTGTGATTGTGTAGGAAAACATTTTATTCTTAGAAGCTTTATGCTACATTATTTAGAGAAGTGTCATGACTAGTTTTCTTTCAAGTGGTTCAACCAAAATCTTGTGAAGAGAAAGAGATTGAGCAATTTGAGGCAAAATAATAACAGGGCGTTAATCTACATAAAGGATATACAAGTTTGTGATTTTTACTATTCTCTCAACTTTCCATGGATTTAAAATAAAAATATAGGGAAAATAATTTTTATAGACTTTTGCCTAAAATAAGGAGTATTAGTGAGACCTCAGTAATTGAGATAAATGGGGGCTAGTTAGGCAATTGTTACTCTTTTTTAAAGATGTAGTATGAAAATAATACAACTTTTCTCATTTCTCATTTCCAGATTCCTTATTCTCTTCATTAATAGAGGTCATCAGCCATGAACTTCTTTACCTTTTTTTCCCTTCTAGACATACCTGTACCATCCTCCACCTTTACTTCCTTCTCTCAGAAGAAGTGTCCTCTCCCTTTCTAAACTCTTTTGAACCATCAGAGGGATGTTAAGTTCTATATTGCTTTAGCATTAATTACCTGATAGGGAGAAGTTTCTGAGTCTGATAGGTATGGACGGGTTCAAGTCAAGGCATTACCACTTAATAGTTGTGTGACCTTAACTGTTACTTAATCTCCCTGAGTCTATATCCTCATTTGAAAAATAAGGAAGAATATTTACCTTTCAGGGTCCTTTTATAAGGACTAAAAGAAACAATGTTGAACTTTCCTGAAGCAGTGCCTGGCCCAGGTTGGTGGTTAGTAAATAACAATGGCAGAACTCTTTATCAGAGATTACTGTGTATAGGAGAGAGAGAGAGGAGAA